GGTTGGTTCATATCCCATGTTCCCAATGCCTGTGCCTTGGTTCACCTTGGTACTAGCCCGGCTGTGCCTGAGCGGGGCGTTGCAGCTTTCAATTGCTTCCAGGAACGTTGCATCAAACTCAGCGTAAATGTTGCTACCCCCATTGGCAATGCACTTTTCACATTGAAGCTGACATGGGCAGCATCGATTTCCAATGTTGAAAAAAGAACCACATCTTGCTTCGTCCTTTCTGAGTACCATAACCTGCCAGCCAGCGCTGGCCCACCGCAAGGGTACAATGAAAAAATCAAGGAAGGTTCTCACGCTACCTGAACTCTTTGCCCAACTTCCCCAAGCTACTGGGCATTGTTCTGTTTCACCAACCCGGTCACGGAGGCCGTGCAAAATATTCTTGCCTTGCAGCGGCTTCCATCATGGCTGACACAAAAGCAATCCCACGTGCTTTTCTCAAGTTCGACCCTGGCCAGCCAGGAGCAACGCTGCTTGACCGCTTGGCTTAGCCCAGCATCGCTCAAGTCATGGGCTGCGGCAATTTCCATGGCCAGTTTGGCTTGTGCCAAGTCAGTCATACCAGTGTAAGATTAGGTCGACATTCAGAAGCGGCAGCAGGTATGCCTGACTGTGGCTGAAGAGAACCCATGCATGCTCCGGCAATGGCCCACCTCCGCGGTGAGGCAAAACCTGGAAGGCTTTCCATATGATGTCCAGGAGGGAGTTCTGTGGCCTGGCAGGTGCGCACGGAACTTTGGCCCCTTCCTGCTGCCAAGAACGATTCCTGCCCCATCATTGTTTCGGTGGCACCTAACTCTGCATGGGATCACCTTGCTGCTTTCTTCCTCTCTGGACAAAAAGCGTTTTTTGGTTGAGTGCCCCGATTGGAACGCCCTTGGTAAAGGCCGCACTGCCTTGGAGGCACATTGCCACTGGTTCACAAAAGACTGACTTCCGCGTTGCCGCATCTCCTCCCTCTCAAGCTCCGTTTTCATTTCTGATTGTTTCTACAATTGTTCCTGCTGTATCTTTCTTTTTGTTTCCTTTTCTCTTTTCTCTCTTTGTTTCTTTGTTGTTTCTTTCTCCCTCTTTTCTCTCTCTTTTTTTTTTGTCGTTTTCTGAGGGATACAAAGACTTCCTATATTTTTTTTTGTAGGTTTTTCTCCATCCCATCTTTGGGCATGTCCGCCAGTAACTCCTCCTGTCATGGGTCTTTGTTTTCTTTTTTTGGGCTCTCTTTTCTTTATTTGTCTCTCTTTTTCATTCTCTCTTTCTCTAGCTTTCTTCTGTCTATTTTTTATTATTATTTGTTTTTCTTGCCTTGCTTATTTTCTTTGTTTTCTCTTTCTTTCTTTCTTTCTTTGTTTTCTATGTTTCTCTCTATTTCTCTCTTTCTTTCTCTGTTCCTTATTTTTTGGTATTGCCATTGATGGAATTTATTAATGTATATTTTGAAGGATTGTAATATTTTTTGAAATGTAGTGGGATTTGCGGATATATTTTTGGTTGATTTGAAATATTTAAGTTTATGAGATGTGTTTTTATCTTTAATTTTTTGTTGATTGTCTAATTAGAAGAATGAAATTTAAGTTTACAATGTGAATTAAAATAATTTGATATTGGATTTGGGTACAATTTTATACAGTATATTTATATTTTTTAAAGATGTTTTGATATATCAAATAGTATTAGTTTTGAAATTTATATAAGAGAAATGTGAATTTTAAAACTTCATTAAAGGATTAATAATTTTGAAAAAAATATATATAAAATTTGTGTTAAATTTTTAAAAAAATGATAAGATTGATTAGGAATGCATGAATCGATATTGGCAAGTTAAAGCATTTTTTTTGAATCTATTTAACGAATATTCTTTTTATATCAATTAAATTTTAAGAAATACATTAACAAATCCGAAATTACAAAATACTACAAAATCGAGTCTTAATTGACAGGAAACAATTTTATTAGGCTTAGTTGATACGATGTATTTTTGGGATTTAGATTGTTCTCGGATTTGTTTTTGGCAATTCTTGTCAGATTGCAGCCGGGTCAGATATTAAATATTGGAATTTGATCCCATTTTGAGTTTAAATTCCGTTAATTTGGTTTAATAGATTTATGAAGTTTGAGAATATTATAAAAAAATAAGGATTTTATTCAGACCAAGAATTCAATATTCAGCAAATGTAGATATAATTTTATTAAATTATATATATGTATCGAAAAATCGGACATCAATTAATGTTAGATAATTAAATAATTTTATTTTCGTTAGGTTTAATTGGCAAAATTCTATTCTAGAAATTGGAATATTTTAGAATTTTATATATTTGTAATAATTTTTATAAAGAATATATATTTTTTGATATATTATAATTCTATTAAATTATTTGGTTGTTAAAAAGGTAGATTTAATCAACAAATTTATTTTAGAACAAATAAATTATATAATTATAATATATATTCAAGTTTTTTATATTAATAAAATTAAATATATTTTAACTTTAATAAATTTAATAATATCCTAAATTTATATATATAAAATTTCCGGGTTTATTCCAAACCAATTTTATTCTAAATCAATTTGCTAATTATTGGGATATTTATTAAAAAAAAACAAATTAAAGTGTTAAGGATATATTCTAAATTAAAATTCCATATAAAATTCCTTAAATTTCCAAAAATAATAAATAATATATTATATATAAACAAATTAAATTAAAAATCAAATAAATTTAAAAATATTCTTATACCTATCAGGTTTTCAAAAATAAAATAATTAATAATATTTCTAAATGATATATAATCAAATCTAAAAATCCTTAATATCATTAAGAATTTTAATAAATAAAATCTTTTTTTTATAAATTTAATAAATATTCGAATATAGAATATATCAAATCCTAAAAGAATATTTTATTAATTAAATCTAATAATATTATTCAAAAATCATATAAAACAAAATATATATTACAATAACTAATTGAAAGTTAGTTCTCTAAGACAAATAATAAAAGAAGGAATAAGCCCGCGAGAAAAAGTGCGCACGAATATGGCAGGGAAAGATAAAATCGCAAAAAGCATGGTCCTGTGCATGAATCGGCATTTTCGAAGATAAGAAAGTCAAAAAACATGGTCCTATACACGAATTGGCGTGTCCGGGGATGAAAGCTAGCCTATCCGCGGCGTCTAGTCGGAGCGATCGTCTATCTCGGAGCGGTTTCGGAGTGGGCTCGGCGCCGGAATCATTAGCACGGCAATGCAAAGGTTTCACAAGGATTGAGTTGCGAAGCAGGTACAGCATTTTGATGCCACGAATTTGGCATTTGTACGAAAGTGTTGCATCTGCTACGAATTTGATATTTGACCTTATGAAAATATTGTGCTTACCTTGAAATCTGCATTTGAGTTTTTGAAAATACTGTGCCTAACTTTAAGAAAAATTGACCTTTGGAAAGTAAAATTCTTAACAAACATATCATTTCACAAAATCAAATATAAATTTCGTAATAAATATAACACTTTCGCAAAACCAAATACAGGTTTCGTAGCAAGCGCAACACTTTCACAAAGCCAAATGCAGATTTTATAACAAACACATTACTTTTGCATAATTAAATACAAAGAGAAAAAAAAATAAAAATAAACTAAAAGATAAATAAAAACATAAACAAATAATAATTAAAAGAAAAAAAACAAATAATAAAATAAATAAATAAGTAAATAAATATATATATATATATAAAAAAATAAAATAAACAAATTAAAATATAAATAAATAAATCAAACAATAATAAATAACAAACATAAAAATAAATAAATAAATATATAAATAAATTAGAAAAAAGAGAAAAAAAAAGACAAAAAAAGAGACAAAAAAAGAGAGAAAAAAAGAGAAAAAAATATAAAAAGAAACACAAAAAGAAAGAGAAAAAGAAAGAGATAAAAAGAAATAAATAGGTTAGACAAATACATTATCTAAATAAGTAAATCGAAAAAATAAAAAAAATAGATAGAGTGATTAATAAATAATTAAGAAAAAAATAATAAGGACATAAAAAAAAAAAAAAAAACAAAAAACTGGCGAAAACAGGACAGAAAAAAAGAGAGAATAACGAAGAAACAAAAAACAGAATCAAGAAAGGAAAGACAAAGAAAGCTATAATTTTTAAGCCGAGATTTTAAAATATCCTAAACTCTAGTTTTGCTTTTTTGCCTGGAGTTTATCCCTAGGTCGTCCGGGCCAGTGCCTCGTAGGAGTTTCGGTGCAGGAATAAGTGTGGTTATGTTTTTTAGTGAGTTTCTGTGGGTTTTGTGGTTTTTCTGTGGGTCCTATATCGGCTTTATGTGGGTTTGAATGGGTTTCTGTGTGTGTTATTGGAGGGTTTTGTGTGGGTTTTATGAAGATTTCGTATGGGTTTTGGGTAAGTGTTGGGTTGGCTTTGTGGGGTTTTGTGTGCGAATGTTAGTTAGGTATTATCTATGAGAATTGGATGGGCTAAGTGTTTCCCCACTCCACACCCCACGCTCCACACACACACACACAGACACCCGTGTATGTTTGAGTTGGTTTGGTATATGTGTTGAGGACTCTGATGGTTGATCTATCTTTGCCATGCATCTGGCCTAGCCCTTTGAGCTGGGGGTGGGGGTTGGCAGTGGAGTGGTGGTTGGCAGTGGAGTGGGGGGCGGGGAGTGGGGAGTGTGGAGTGTGGAGTGTGTTGTGTGGCGTGCGACGTGTGTCGTGTGTGGTGTGTGGTGTGTTGCGTGTGGTGTGTGGTGTGAGTTGCGTGTGGTGTGTGGTGTGCGTGGTGTGTGTGGTGTGTGGTGTGTGGTGTCGTGTGTGGTGTGTGGTGTCGTGTGTGGTGTGTTGTATCAAAATTGACGGACATGTCACCACTCATTCAGGCACCGCAGCAGAAGTCGGCGGAATGAGCCGGAGGCTCTAAAGAAATTAAAGTAAAACCGTTCCCCAAAGAAATCGAGTTGACGATTGTTATGATGTTTGGTGCGCAAACTTGATGCTCCAAGCATGCGTCTCACTGCGAGTTGGCCTGGGGAATGAGGGTGCGCAGCCAACATGCACCAACACGGCAGCGGCCTGACCGCAAAAACTCAAATTCTAACTGGAATTCATGGCAGGCCAACTCACGCCAATGCTTGGCATGGCGTAGCATGACTCAGCAGCTGCACGTAGCCCCTCTGCTTGACAAAGGCGCGACTTGTGGGGTCACTGCTGCTTCTTGGCCAACGCATTCTGCGGGGGTTGCAGGGCGTCCTTAAGAGCGCCGGACATGGCGGAGAAGTCGCCACTCTTGATCTCCCGACTTTTAGATCGGATCATGGCGACTGGTTTTTACCAAGGTGCTTGCAGTTGACGTTAGCTGTGGAATCAAGGCGTCCATGCATCCACCCAGGAAGAGAAATGAGCCAACAAGACCGAAGCCCACAAAGGACAAGAAAAGAAGGACCGCATTAATATTTAGAAGCAGCAGCTGCCCCTTGCTCAAGCCCATCATGACCAGGACATTCTCCAGGTCAAGAGACTCCTCCGAGCCCTCCTCGCTCATAGCATCCTCTATAGACCCCAGCGCCGCCTCCATGTCCTCCATGGCAGGCCCGACAACGGTGTTCAGCGACTTGAGCAACCCATTGTGTGCCCCACCCGCGTTCCCAAACCTCTCCCAATTTTCACTGCAAGTCAAGTTGATGTCAATCGCTCGGTGCAGAATGCCAGCATCGTTCAAAGTTGCTGCCTGCGCCATACCAGCAATAGATGCACCAGTTGAGGTGGACGGGGGAGCGGGCAGTTCTTTCTTGGCGAAGCTCAAGATAACATCACCAGCGGGTTCAACAGCTTCCCGTGCATCACTGCCTGCCATCGGCATGTGTGGGAAAACGCTGTGCTGGTCCATGCCACTGACCGAATCGCCCGGCTCGCTCAGAAAGGCCTCCAGAGTTGCAGTGTCCCCGGCGTGCGGGCCCCCGAGGGCCTTTGCAGCACCTTTTGGTCGAGGAGCCGCCTTTTTTCGCGTCGTCGCTTTCTTCTTTTTGAGGCGCGTGTCGTCACCTCGGTCTTGCTCCACTTGACCAGCAGAGGCAGCAGTAAGCATAGCAGCTTGCTGCGCCATTGCCATAACATCTTCATTAAAGGAATCGGCGTCTATCCCCGATTTTGCCATGGCTTCTTTAGTGGCCGAAGTCATGGCAGAACATGCCACGCCCTCGACTTGACCAGCAGCCGAGGCAGCCGTATGCTGCGCTCTTGCCATAACATCTTCATTGAGGGACTCAGCGTCCAAACCCGATTTTGCCATGGCTTCTTTGGTCGCCGAAGTCAGTGCAGAACCTGCCACGCCCTCGACTTGACCAGCAGCCGAGGCAGCCGCAAGCATCGCAGCTTGCTGCGCTCTTGCCATAACATCTTCATTGAGGGACTCGGCGTCCAAACCCGATTTTGCCATGGCTTCTTTAGTGGCCGAAGTCATTGCAGAACCTGCCACACCCTCGACTTGACCAGCAGCCGAGGCAGCCGCAAGCATCGCAGCTTGCTGCGCTCTTGCCATAACATCTTCATTGAGGGACTCGGCGTCCAAACCCAATTTTGCCATGGCTTCTTTGGTCGCCGAAGTCAGTGCAGAACCTGCCACGCCCTCCACTTGACCGGCAGCCGAGGCAGCCGCAAGCATCGCAGCTTGCTGCGCTCTTGCCATAACATCTTCATTGAGGGACTCGGCGTCCAAACCCAATTTTGCCATGGCTTCTTTGGTCGCCGAAGTCAGTGCAGAACCTGCCACGCCCTCCACTTGACCAGCAGCAAAGGCAGCAGCAAGCATAGCAGCTTGCTGCGCCCTTGCCATAACATCTTCATCAAGGGAATCGGCGTCCAAACCCAATTTTGCCATGGCTTCTTTAGTGGCCGAAGTCAGCGCAGAACCTGCCACGCCCTCTACTTGACCAGCAGCAGAGGCAGCAGCAAGCATAGCAGCTTGCTGCGCCCTTGCCATAACATCTTCATTAAGGGAATCGGCGTCCAAACCCACTTTTGCCATGGCTTCTTTGGTCGCCGAAGTCATTGCAGAACCTGCCACGCCCTCCACTTGACCAGCAGCAGAGGCAGCAGCAAGCATAGCAGCTTGCTGCGCTCTTGCCATGACCATACCCTGAGCTTGACCAACAGCAGTGGCGGCAGCATTTTGAGTTGCCTGTCGCATTCTGCTCATGACTGCCTCTGAATTGAAGTTCTTCGCGTTGGCGGCTTCTGCCACAGCTTCCTGTGCAGCTGAGGTCATCAAATTGCCTGCCATCAATCTGAGCAAGACTGGTTTCAACAACCAACCTATGCCCTCCTTCAAATGAAAAGGGAAACCCGTAAAGGGATGTTGTGCTGCGGTGTGTGGTCATGTTCAACGGCACACCGTAGCCAGAAAATCCGCCAAGTGAGAAAAACCGATGTCTGCTCCTACAACTGAGGATGCTTGAATAGCCGGCGCTTGAACCTGTCGAAGCAGGTACCTGGAATTCCATGCCCGTCATACCCGGCCTGCCATTGCAGACACCTTCTCGGCACTGAAATCATCTGCGTCCACACCCGTTCTGGCCAAGGCTTGCTGTGCAAACGGCGTGTTCATGATCGAGCTGGCCATTCCTGCCGCTAAAAGCTTTTCAGGACAGAGAGCATACATAAACAAACCCGTGGAATTGGCGCTGGCCCAATTCGTCTGCCCCTGGCATGAGAAAAATACACATATTCAGGACATGTCACACCTTGAAACGCTCAGTTGGGAGCTCACTGTGGTTCAGTCAGGCTGTGAATTGGTCGTGTTTAGGCTGGCTGAGTCAGAGTAGGGTAAAGCCGATTAAGCATTCTCGAAAGCATCGCAAAGAGTTCTTCCGTGCGGAGTCCTTGGACTAACTTGCGCAGAGTCACTTATACAGACCAAGTTTTTCAGACAAACTTGCAAAAAAGTAAGTTGCATAGAATCACTTGCGCAGACCACCCTGCAGGAAACCATTTGCACAGAGTCAGTTGCTCACGTCACTTACGCAGACCAAGCTGTAGACCAACTTGTGCAGAGCCATTTGTGCAGAGTGAGCCATTTCGACAGAGCGAAGTTGCGCAGAGCTACTTGCACAGAGCAGAGATGCTTGCGGAGAGCAACTTGCACACAGCCATCTGCAATACAGGCGAGTGATCTGGCAATACCTTGGGAAGGTACAGTCTGGGTAAAGAGCTTGGGCATGAAAAATCGGGCTCTTGGGCTCGGCGCTGGCCATGAAAATTAACGGTGCCCGATGTCAACAACCTTTGTGCAGCTCCGCGGTCCCCGGACCGGCCCTCTGGGAATGTGCTTGTCGAATCCTCGCTGAAGTCCCGTGCGATTTTTGTGCTATGCTGTGCTCCTTGGAAGTTGTCTCTTGGTTCACGCTGCTCTTGAAATCGCGCGGTTGGTTCAATCCCCGCTGGGCGCTCAGGAAAGCCGCAACTTGAATACAACAGTAGGCGAAGCGCACTCCCGCGCACTCCCGCAAGCTCCACGAAGAAACTTGCATGGAGCACAAAAGGAGAGCAACGTGCAGACTGTGCTGAATGCATGTGTATGAATTGCCAACCGGGAACTGCTGTTGCAGCAGAAAGAAGCAAGCAAATGCCTGCCCAAACCGCAAGCAGACCATCACTCAGGTTCCTTCTACCTCGCCAATGGCCCCCTTGGCAAAGTCCAAGGCTTTGTTGGCGCTCGTGGCCGCCCACTCCGCTGCCATGGTCTTGGCCTCATGGCTTATTCGATCGAGAGTGGAAACCGAGAGATCACGGGTAAACCTCGAGAAGTTTGCAGCCTGGCATAGCCTGGCATAGCCTGGCCTTCTCCACCATCTCATCGAACTTCTGCGTCACTTGCTGCGCCACCACCACCGCTCCAGCAATGGACAAAAGAATGGGTGCCAGCCGTTCGGGCTTCAACAACGTACCCAGCAGCACGAAAATAGTGACCTTCCCCCCTCTGGATTGGCAAATCGCAGTTTTGTTAGCTGCCCCCCAAATCAACACAAGCAGACTTCAGAGCAAAGAACAATTCTAGGATCATTGGTTTCTGCTCCGTCATGGTTTAGGACGCTTTCCCGCACTTTCCAACTGATTGCAAAGCGCAGTGCAGCTGTCTTGTGAACTTGCGGTGGGTGCTAGGACAGGGTTGGTTTGAGGTTACGGGCTCAGTGTGGATCAGTTGGTTCTGGGGCTGGTTTAGGGTGGGTTTATGGTTGGCTCAGGGGTTGAAGGCTTGGCTTCGATTCTGTTTACGCTGATTTGAGCATTGGCTGGTGGAGTTTGGGCAAATGAAGGGTGGGCTTACTTCGGCTGGTTTTTAGAGTTGGTGCGGGGTCGGTTGGTTTTAATGGCACCCTCACACATTGTTGATATCTGGAAAAACATGCGGGCTCGCTCCAGCAAGTCTAACTCTTCCACGTGGGCGCACCGCCACACAATGTCAACGCCGTGATGGGATTTTGCAAGCGGGTTGAGTTGCTTTTTGAGCTCGCGTTGCAAGATGGCCGCAAGGCATGGAGCAATTGTCTTGCTTTCGACGGGTTTCCTTTGCTGCTTTTGTCGGTTAGGCACTACTCAATGAATCAAGGTGATTCGTTGCAGGTAAGGTATGGCTGTGTGGTTCAGGGTTTCGACTTGGTTTAGGATTGACTTCAGGTGGATTGGGTGGCTCGGGGTTGGTTTATGGGCGGGCTTACGGTTTGATATAGCATGGGCCTTGTTTAGGGTTGGTTAGGCTCAATATAAGGCTTGGCGTTTGCATAAGGCTGGCGCTTGGCGTAGAGTTGCCTTTGGGGAAAATTGGGGATGGCTTAAGGTTAGGGCTATTAGGGCTTAGGGAAAACCAAGTTTGAGGACGGATTAGGTTGGATTGGGGTGCGCTTCGAGTTTCGGGTTTGGGCTCGGTTCAGGTGGTGGTTGAGAATGGAGGCAGGGTGGATTGTGGGATTGGGACTGGTTTAGGGATTTTCCCATGGCTGTCACTTGCTCCGGCTTCGTTTTGCGCGTTGAAGTCGGGCACAATGTATCCGCTTAATGTATCCGCTTGGGTGTGTTGGGGCTTGGGGGCTTGGGGGCTTGGGGGCTTCGGGTTGAGGCTCTAAGCTGGATTGCTGGATTGAGGGTTTAGGCCAAGTTTAGGCTTGGTTGAAGTCAGGTATGGCTGGGTTTCGGGTTTGAACTATGGATTCGGTCCCGGGCTCCTTTTGTAAGCTGGCTTCGGGTGGGTTGGGGTTTAAGCTGGGGGTGACGGGTAGGTTTAGGATAGAGTCAATGCAAGGTGCATGAGGGTAGCATTGGCTTCGAGCTGTCAAGGCCAAGCAGCCATAAAAGCTGGGAACGACAAGAAGCCAAATCCAAACTGCGAGAAACGCGAAGCAAACAATTGCTCAGAAAACAAAACGTCTCAAAGCAAAACAAGACTGCAACCATCCTATCAAAGGCCGAGTTTTGTTTTAAACCAACATATAATATATATGTATATATATGTATATAGAAGCGCACAGTGCCGTGAAGTGACCGTGATAAAATAGGCGCAGAAGAAGAACAGCGAAAATAGAAGACTCGTGGTCAAAAAGGTACGGTACGGCAGGGAGCCCCGGATCGTCATTGCAGCTCGGTAGGCTGTGGGACACTTGCCGCTTTCTTCTGCTACGTCAAGCCCGTGGCGTGTGAAGTACTCCAAAAGGGTAGTTAGGAAAAATATGCTGTTCATAACCATTGCGGCCACAAGGATGATGTTCGAGAGTCTCCGGTGGCGAATATTCAAGCAAGCTCCTTCCATCCATTCGTTGAAATTGCACATTGCTCGGAGCTCTGCAATGTTGGAGACATTCAGAACCGCTATCAGCACCAAAGGCGTGATGAGAAGTTGCGTTACAATAAAATGGCCAAAGCACAGCTCGACAGCCTTGAGAATCGTGACAGACGCCTTGCCAGAGGGGGAGCGCAGAATCAGGCACCGCACCAAAGTCATGAGCAGATTGCTTCTGGTCTCCATGTGTAGCATGCTCCTCAAAACCTCATTCTGCATCAGCTTGCAATCCAGGGCACCCCTCGCTTTGAGGTACCTGCGTTTTTGCATCTTGTACAAAGATGCCACCAGGAGGCAAGCAAAGACCCCTCCCGCCACGGCCAGCAGAATCCTTTGCAAGACCGAGCCTATACCCGGCTCCCGCCCCTTTTGTAGTTGTTACTAGTTGGACAAGGGGACGAAACCACCTGACACGGCGAAGAAAAGAAAGAATGACAACTTGCCTTAGCTAATCTTAGCTACCTTCTCACCAACAAACATCGAGCGTGTGAAAAGGCCCAACCGAAACAACCATGGCAACCAAACTTCTGTTTGTTGGTGGGAGGTTGCCCTTTCTGCTGCTGAGGATCATGATAATGACGAACAAAAGCCCGGGGACCCCCCGCAAGCTCTGAGGGCCTTGAACCAGGTTGCGCCAATATGGGCCAGCCATGTTTAAACATGTTAGTTTGACTTGAACATCCGCATAAAGTCTTCCTGTTGAAGTGGACCATAGGTCAGTCTCTTGGAAGTGCTTTAGGCTTTTGCCCAGCCCTGCCAGCAACCAGCTTCACGAAAGCGCTGGTGGTGGCAGATAGCATGGACACGGCGCCATCGGCCAGCGAAGGGAACATCGAACCGCCCCGGCGGAACTCACGGAGCACATAATAAATGCGGCCATTCCTGAACATACGCTGTCTACTTAAAGGTTATGCAACGGGGTGTACTTTGTGTTTCAACTTCGCATTGTTTCGGGGGATACCCATTTCTATTGGCAATTGTTCAAAATTTTTGGTGGCATCCGCCCAATCCAACCCTTCGGCCCTCCTGGCGTTGGTCAAATTCAGCGATTCAGGCAGCGAATTCCGCCAGGCCTGCGCACAGTTTTCCTGGGCCAGATGGATATGGACCCCTCGGAAAGAGGCCAACGCAGAGCCCACGGATCCGAAAACACTAAAGTACATACCAACAGAAACCTCACAAAAGAAGCACCCCACGAGTAATCGGAAACCCTCTCAGCAAAGGCCTCTTAGCCAAGTCCTCTTGCAACAAAAAGATATGAGCACCACAAAACCCCCAGGTGGCAGACAAGCTCACAATCAAGCTGGCGGCCACCAAAAGGCCTCATGGAAAAGGCCATAGCTCAAACCAGGGGGGGCCTTGTCTTTGGGGGCTGGATGACCAAAAAACCACCCCCCACCGAACCAAGTTTGCCTTAAGTTTCCCCTCTTTTCCTTAAATTGTTTCCCTTATAATTTGGCCCATTTGCTTTGGCTATCTTATGCCAATTTGGCCTTTCGTCAGGGCTCCAGGACCTGGGTATGCAAAGCCTCCTCGGTGGAGTTCCGGGCGCGGCAGGTTGTAGCGCCGGCGGTGATGCGGTCGCGCTTGGCGAGGCAAAGAGAGTCCTAGGGACAAACCAACGAGTTCCAGGGCAACCTGAAAATCTTGTGGAAAATTGCAGAACACCTGCAACAGTCTCCCTTGAACGGATCCAGGCAAAAACTTCAAAGCCAGGTTCATCCCTGCGTTTCAAGTGATGAGATGCTTCCAGATTTCCACTCAAATAATGGGATTTGCTTGTATGTCTGGCCTGCATTTAAGAAGCTTACAGTCTTACAAGCATGTTTTCTGATTAAAAAGAAACTGCAAATGTTCGTGTGAAGTCAAGGTAACAATGATGAATAAGTCGTAATGAGCAGGCGTTGATGTTCGTGCAAAATCACGGTAACAAGGCTGCAAAAGTCGTAAGGAGCATGTAATGGTGTTTGTGTACAACTTGTGAAAATGATGAATATGCGCTGATGTTCATGTAAAATTGCAGAAAGAAAACGTCAGTAATATGTGACAGTGTTTGTGAAATCATGGGGAAACAGCGGGTTCATGCTCATTTTCAACCAATGTACCTTGCTTCGTAGGATGCCAAACAAACATGGTGATGTGAGTTTTTTGGTGGTTCTGTGGTGGACAGGGGGCAACACGTTGGCAGCGCCTGTCTCGTCGTCCAAGCCAGTTCTTCCTCCCCAGGCAGACAGGCGCCAGCGATCTCATGGCAGTTTTGCAGCGCCTGTCTCCACTGAGCACGGTCCTCCTCCCCCCAAACAGACATGCGCCAGCGATCTCAACGCAACAAGGCTGGGGAGGGAAACCGCGGTATGCGTGGAACTTGTGATGCAAATAGGGGAAAACTGCTGTATACAAGCAGAATTCTTGTGGCACACAAGGGGAAAGCACGGGAAATTCTCCTGGTGCAACGGAAGGCAATTCTCGTGGTGCAAAGGGGGAAAATTGCGGTGTACTCGGTATACGTGGGAACTTCTTGTGGTGCAAACGGGGAAAACTGCGAGAATTCTTGTGGCGCAAATGCGGGAAACTAGATGATTTTTGGGTGGTGCAAAGGGGGGAAACCACGGAATACAGCTGGACTTCGCGTGGTGCAAACTGCGGTATGTGTCGGAAATTATTGCGGTGCAAAGGGGGAAAACTGCAGTATACACGCGGAATTCTTGTGGTGCAAAATAAAAGGGGAAAACTGCGGCAAACACGGAGAATTCTTGTGGCGCAAATGGGAATCTGCAGTATACAAGGGCTATTCTTGTGGCGCAAAGGGGGAAACTGCGCTATGCGTTGGAAATTCTTGTGGTGCGAAGGGGGAAAACTGCTGTACACAGGCGGAACTCTTGTGGCGCAAGTGGGGAAACTGTGGTGTCAAGGTGGCAAAGAGGGAACGGGGGAATCCTTGTGGTGCAAAGGGGGAAAACTGCGTTGCTTCTTGTAGTGCAAAAACTGCGATGCGCAGGATATGTTTTTCAGCTACGGGGCAGCCATGCTGAACAAGTCATGACAAACGAACTGATGAAACTGTCACCTGAAGAACCAGGGTAACTAAGCAAAGCTTGGCCAGCCTTGTTGCGTTGAGATCGCTGGCGCATGTCTGTTTGGGGGGAGGAGGACCGTGCTCAGTGGAGACAGGCGCTGCAAAACTGCCATGAGATCGCTGGCGCCTGTCTGCCTGGGGAGGAAGAACTGGCTTGGACGACGAGACAGGCGCTGCCAACGTGTTGCCCCCTGTCCACCACAGAACCACCAAAAAACTCACATCACCATGTTTGTTTGGCATCCTACGAAGCAAGGTACATTGGTTTAAAATGAGCATGAACCCGCTGTTTCCCCATGATTTCACAAACACTGTCACATATTACTGACGTTTTGTTTCTGCAAATTTACATGAACATCAGCGCATATTCATCATTTTCACAAGTTGTACACAAACACCATTACATGCTCCTTACGACTTTTGCAGCCTTGTTACCGTGATTTTACACGAACATCAACGCCTGCTCATTACGACTTATTCATCATTGTTACCTTGACTTCACACGAACATTTGCAGTTTCTTTTTAATCAAAAAACATGCTTGTAAGACTGTAAGCTTCTTAAATGCAGGCCAGATGTGGAAGGGATTGCCAGCTTGCGCTCTTGAATTCACCTCAGTGATCAGGGAAGCTGACAGGAAGGATTTGGAAAGATCACTCCTTGTCCGCGTACACAATTGGTGGAGGGAGACAGCTTTCTGAATTTCTGATTAGTCCTGCAGGCAAAGACTTGCCACCTGCGGGAAAGAACGTTGACCCACTACCTTGAAAGGAATCGACTACAACTGTTCGGAGGTCCAGTGAGCCAGCGCACGCGTCAGAGTGGCTTTGGGACCACCTGGGTAGCTGTTTGGCTTGGACAAAGCGCCGTTCAGCCCTGAAACAAGAAGCAACATGAGGCAACTACTAGGTCCGGTTAACTACTTTTAGCCAGGCCATTCGTTGTCCAATAGCATTCTTTTGAAAGAACAGCCCTGAGTCCTTCACTAGGAACACTTCTCGCGCTGTGCGAGGAGAGAAAATCCCCAACGTGAAGATATTCCAAAGGCCCACGGGGAACCACATAAGTGCATCGCCGAACTGCGAGAAGATCCAAAAGCCGCTCGACGTCACGGACTGGATCTCCTCGCTTGGCAAAACAGCCTGGTAAAGATGAGCGATCTCCTTTCGGAACATTAGTCACAAATGGATAAACGATACCAGAATAAAAGGTCAAAAGGTTAAATGGAAGTGAGCATCTGATCCCAACGAACCGCCCAAGAGCCAGAGATTCATCAGCTCAGTTCCTGACTGCGACACTTCAGTTGACCAGGCGGCAAACTTGTCATCAAGTCGGGCACCCACCTTCACCACAGAATCCCACGTGTTTCCACAGTTCCTCTGGCTCCTCCACACGCCATGCGTCAGGAAAAGCCGACTCAAGGCATTGCCACGAGTGACATTCAAGATCCGCGGGTTTTCGGAGGATCCTAAGGAGAAGCTGGAATCAAAGTCATCTGATGTTGGAAGCTGCAGTGTTGGCCGTCCTGCCGTATCCGACAGGCAAAGACCAGCAGTAACGTTTACCCCGTCCCCAGTCTGCAAATTTACATTCATGCCACGTTGATATGTATCCTGCCACGAATACACGTCAACTTCGCCGCCAAGAACAAAGCTCGCCTCGTCAAAGTCTACTTCATAAAGAAAAATAAACCCGGAGTCCATTTGCACAGACATGCTGCCAATTTTGCTTGGATAGATCTGCAAAATACCGTCGTCCCCTGTCACGCTGAAGTTGTCACCCAAATCCACAGATGTTGCAGAGCGAAACAAACTGCGGCCTCCAGGCTCGAAAATCAGATCTACTAAGTGGAAGTGAATCTCGCGACCGACCTGGACTACGACAGTCACGGCCTCACCATGTAAGGCTGCAGGGCCAACACAATTCACTTTCAGCACATCGCTGGTAGCGTTCCACTTTACATGCAAGCGACGCTCGCCACCTTGATCCATGGTGGTCTCAATCAAAACGATGGAGTTTCCATCCTTCAATTGCACATCCATGTTGCAATCTTTCAGCGAAAACATCATGGTGCCGCTAGTCACGTTGTTGATCTCAAACTGTTCAAGCTGCAATGTCTCCTGGGATGAGCTCTGCAACACTGCGACTGCCGTAAAAGAAGCGGCATATAGCACAACGGTCAGAAATAGCTTGAACCTTACCCGGATCCGGATTAAAAAGTGAACCTCAAGAAAGGCTCCACAAGTAAGCAAGACAAGGCAAGGCCCTTCAAGGACAACAAATCCGGAGAAAAACAAAAAACCTTCAGAAAGCTATCGAAAGATCTCAGCGATGGAACCTCAAAGCCGCCAGCGGGTGCAGCTGCTTGCTGGCCACTTTCTTCAGGGAGGCGACTGCTGTGACTTGGATTCCATCTAACGCTTGCTTGGTGGACTTCACATCCATGGCGGCTTTATTTACAGCATGCAAGTTGGGGGACCTGAGTTTCAGTGCAATGGTTGGGGGTTGATTTGCATACGAGATTGATGGGAATCCACGGTATGGATGCATGTTACCCGAGAACTCTGCCCCAGCTTGGACTGAGGCTAGTGTGGATTTGGGCTTCGTGTTGAGTGATGGCTCCCAGTTCCAGCTGCTGAGTTCAGAAAAGCAAATGCTTGCCCCTCCAACGTTAATCAGCCCGGGAGCGCTTTCAGCGCTAGAGTGCGCTATTTCACTCAAGAGGTGAGAGGCGCACATGCAGTCCCTTTTTCCGCGAAGCTGGACAAACATGCAGACCTAGAGGCTCTCAAGCAAAACATCGGAAGCCAATGACTGTCTGAGCTGTGTGGCTGCTAATGGCATCTCTTTTCATCCTGTGACGAGGCCGGGTTAACCCTCACAAGCTTCCGATGGCCACGCATGGCCAAGATCGTGGCACATTCGTGAGGTACGAAGGTCACCTGCAATTGCCAACGTCAGTTTCTGCCCCTCAGGGGTAATTTTGAAACTGGCGGGCCCTCGATTCGGCCCAAACCCTTCTTCTCACCATCTATGTGGTCCATTTTTGAGGCGTTCAGCCAAGAGATTGCTGACCGAATGCTACTAAGGAGTCGCGACAGCTTTGCCGTCGCGAAGGCATCATGCCTCGCGTCTCTGAATGTTACGCAGCAGGACCTCTTATGATGGACATCATTCGCGCGGCTGCAGAAAGCTTCGCCAAGAAATCAGGAAGAATGATCTCCCACATCGAGGCAGCAAACAGGCATGCCAGGATATGCCGGGAGTTCCGAATGCTTCTCAAGCTCCCGCGCGCTTCCTCGAGCGCTGGAATGGCTCCGGCTGGCTGAAATGCTCCTCCCAGTAAGAGTTGGGGCCGAATGGTCAACATCAGTTGCCCGAGAACGGGCAAATCGAAGAGCCAGCTGTTTTCAAATGCGGACGCTGCATTTTAACATCAACTCCCTCAGCTCTGAGCTGCATCCGTGCGGCAGCGCCAGACCGAGGAGTGCACTACGTGCGAGTGCCCGGCGACCTCCCCCCCAGCTCCCGGCCGGTCAGCCTCAGCCCCACCCAACGGAAACATACAGAAACAACAGGAAAAGGGGGGCTGTATTCGCTTTATTGGGCATGGAGCTAATTTGGGAAATCAAAAGGTTGGCTTTGGGCGAGTGAGCCAGCGGCAGTCGCGCCTGCGCGAGCAGAACCCGTCGCGGAGCCTCGGGCAAGCCGCGAGTGCCAGGCCGTGCTGCGGAGCAAGGCCAACTTAAGATTGACGCAACTTGTCCAGCAACAACAAAGCAGACCCTTTTCCGACAAAATCTGTGGAATGACTCTGACTGCTGAGTCCAGCCTTGTGTGCAGTCAGCCTACGCTGAAAGTTGCCCGTGCTGACGCCTCTCCTTCGCACTCTGACTCCTAAGCCTGGTTTTGATTGCGGTCAGCCAGCCTGTGTGCTTGCCGCGCTCTCTGCTCGGGATCCTTCTTGTTGCCCATCTTCCGAGGTGCCATCTCGAGTGTTCTGATGGCTCTACTTCTGAATCTGACTCCTGGGCCTGCTCTTGTTTGCGGTCAGCCAATGCCTGCCGCGCTCTATGCTCTGGATCCTTGTGGCCGACTGCGCACGCCTATGACTCGAATCCTGAGCCTGCTCTTGTTTGCGGTCAGCCAGACGGTTGCGAGACTGCCTGCCGCGCTCTATGCTCTGGATCCTTGTGGCCGCCTGCGCGCGCCTATCTGCCGTGATGTCATCTCGGCTGTGCGCTGATGGCTCTGCTTCTGACTCTGACTCCTGAGCTTCTGACTCTGACTCCTGAGCCTGCTCTTGTTTGCGGTCAGCCAGCTGACTGCCTGCTGCGCTCTATGCTCTGGATCCTTGTGGCTGCGTGCGCTCGCCTATCTGCCGTAATGTCATCTTGGCTGGGAGCTGGTGCCTCATCTTCTCTTGTTTGCGGTCAGCAAGCCTGTTGCGAGACTGCCTGCCGCGATCCTGTGACGTCTTGTCGGCTGGACGCTGGTGTCTCTTCGTCTGACTCTGACTCGTGTGCCTGGCCTTGTTTGCTATCGGCCAAACGCTTGCGAGACTGTCTGCCGCGCTCTATGCTCTGCATCCTTGTGGCCGCCTGCGCTCGCCTATCTGCTGCGAAATCATCTCGACTGCGCCGCTGGCTCTTCTTCTGACTCTGACTCCTGAGCCTGGCCTTGTTTGCGCTCAGCCAGCCGGTTGCGAGACTGACTGCCGCGCTCTATGCTCTGAATCCTTGTGGCCGCCTGCGCCCGCCTATTTGCCGTGATGTCAACTTGGCTGGGAGCTGGTGCCTGATCGACTGACTCTGACTCCTGAGCCTGGCCTTGTTTGTGCTCAGCCAGCCAATTGCGAGACTGCCTGCCGCGCTCTATGCTCTGAATCCTTGTGGCCGCCTGCGCTTGCCTGTCTGCGGTGATGTCATCTTGGCTGGAAGGTAGCGCCTCATCTGTTGACTCTGACTCCTGAGCCTGCCCTTGTTTGCGGTCAGCCATCTTGTTGCGAGACTGCTTACCGCGCTCTATGCTCTGGATCCTTGTGGCCGCCTGCGCTTGCCTATCTGCTGCAAAATCATCTCGACTGTGCGCAGCTGGCTCTTCTTCTGACTCTGACTCCTGAGCCTGGCCTTGTTTGCGCTCAGCCAGCCGTTTGCGAGACTGCCTGCCGCGCTCTATGCTCTGAATCCTTGTGGCCGCCTGTGCTCGCCTATCTGCCGTGATGTCAACTTGGCTGGGAGCTGGTGCCTGATCGACTGACTCTGACTCCTGAGCCTGCCCTTGTTTGTGCTCAGCCAGCCGGTTGCGAGACTGCCTGCCGCGCTCCATGCTCTGGATCCTTGTGGCCGCCTGTGCTCACCTATCTGCCGTGATGTCAACTTGGCTGGGAGCTGGTGCCTGATCGACTGACTGTGACTCCTGAGCCTGGCCTTGTTTGTGCTCAGCCAGCCGGTTGCGAGACTGCCTGCTGCGCTCTATGCTCTGGATCCTTGTGGCTGCGTGCGCTCGCCTATCTGCCGTAATGTCATCTTGGCTGGAAGCTGGTGCCTCATCTTCTGACTCTGACTCCTCCTGAACCTGCCCTTGTTTGCGGTCAGCAAGCCTGTTGCGAGACTGCCTGCCGCGATCCTGTGACGGCTTGTCGGCTGGACGCTGGTGTCTCTTCGTCTGACTCTGACTCGTGTGCCTGGCCTTGTTTGCTGTCGGCCAAACGCTTGCGAGACTGTCTGCCGCGCTCTATGCTCTGGATCCTTGTGGCCGCCTGCGCTCGCCTATCTGCTGGGATATCATCTCGACTGTGCGCTGCTGGCTCTTCTTCTGACTCTGACTGCTGAGCCTGGCCTTGTTTGCGCTCAGCCAGCCGTTTGCGAGACTGCCTGCCGCGCTCTATGCTCTGAATCCTTGTGGCCGCCTGCGCCCGCCTATCTGCCGTGATGTCATCTTGGCTGGGAGCTGGTGCCTCATCTTCTGACTCTGACTCCTGAGCCTGCCCTTGTTGGCGGTCAGCCAGCCTGTTGCGAGACTGCCTGCCGCGCTCTATGCTCTGAATCCTTGTGGCCGCCTGCGCTTGCCTGTCTGCGGTGATGTCATCTTGGCTGGAAGCTAGCGCCTCATCTTTTGACTCTGACTCCTGAGCCTGCCCTTGTTTGCGGTCAGCCAGCCGGTTGCGAGACTGCCTGCCGCGCTCTATGCTCTGAATCCTTGTGGCCGCCTGCGCTTGCCTGTCTGCGGTGATGTCATCTTGGCTGGAAGCTAGCGCCTCATCTTTTGACTCTGACTCCTGAGCCTGCCCTTGTTTGCGGTCAGCCAGCCGGTTGCGAGACTGCCTGCCGCGCTCTATGCTCTGGATCCTTGTGGCCGCCTGTGCTCGCCTATCTGCCGTGATGTCATCTTGGCTGGGAGCTGGTGCCTCATCTTCTGACTCTGACTCCTGAGCCTGCCCTTGTTGGCGGTCAGCCAGCCGGTTGCGAGACTGCCTGCCGCGCTCTATGCTCTGGATCCTTGTGGCCGCCTGTGCTCGCCTATCTGCCGTGATGTCATCTTGGCTGGAAGCTAGCGCCTCATCTTCTGACTCTGACTCCTGAGCCTGCCCTTGTTTGCGGTCAGCCTGCCGGTTGCGAGACTGCCTGCCGCGCTCTATGCTCCGGATCCTGGTGGCTGCCTGCGCTCGCCTATCTGCTGAGATATCATCTCGGCTTTGCGCTGCTGGCTCTTCTTCTGACTCTGACTCCTGAGCCTTCCCTTGTTTGTGCTCAGCCAGCCGGTTGCGAGACTGCCTGCCGCGCTCTATGCTCTGAATCCTTGTGGCCGCCAGCGCTCGCCTATCTGCCGTGATGTCATCTTGGCTGGGAGCTGGTGCCTCATCTTCTGACTCTGACTCCTGAGCCTGCCCTTGTTTGCGGTCAGCCATCCTGTTGCGAGACTGCCTGCCGCGCTCCATGCTCTGGATCCTTGTGGCCGCCTGTGCTCGCCTATCTGCCGTGATGTCAACTTGGCTGGGAGCTGGTGCCTGATCGACTGACTCTGACTCCTGAGCCTGCCCTTGTTTGTGCTCAGCCAGCCGGTTGCGAGACTGCCTGCTGCGCTCCATGCTCTGAATCCTTGTGGCCGCCTGCGCTTGCCTGTCTGCGGTGATGTCATCTTGGCTGGGAGCTGGTGCCTCATCTTCTGACTCTGACTCCTGAGCCTGGCTTTGCTTGCTGTCAGCCAGCCTGTTGCGAGACTGCCTGCCGCGCTCTATGCTCTGGATCCTTGTGGCCGCCTGCGCTCGCCTCTCTGCCGTGATGTCATCTTGTCTGGGAGCTGGTGTCTCATCTTCTGACTCTGACTCCAGAGCCTGGCGGTGTTTGTGGTCAGCCAGCCGGTTGCGAGACTGCCTGCTGCGCTCTATGCTCTGGATCCTTGTGGCTGCCTGAGCTCGCCTATCTGCCGAGGTGACATCTTGAGTGTGCGCTGGTGGCTCTGCTTTTGACTCTGACTCCTGAGCCTGGCCTTGTTTGTTGGCAGCCAGCCGGTTGCGAGACTGCCTGCCGCGCTCTATGCTCTGGATCCTTGTGGCCGCCTGTGCTTGCCTATCTGCCGTGATGACATCTTGGCTGGGAGCTGGTGCCTCATCTTCTGACTCTGACTCCTGAGCCTGGCCTTGTTTGCGGTCGGCCAGTCGTTTGCGAGACTGCTTACCGCGCTCTATGCTCTGGATCCTTGTGGCCGCCTGCGCTCGCCTATCTGCCGTGATGTCATCTTGGCTGGGAGCTGGTGTCTGATCTTCTGACTCTGACTCCAGAGCCTGCCCTTGTTTGCGGGCAGCCGGCCGGTTGCGAGACTGCCTGCTGCGCTCTATGCTCTGCATCCTTGTGGCCGCCTGCGCTCGACTATCTGCCGTGATGTCATCTTGGCTGGGAGCTGGTGCCTTTTCTTCTGACTCTGACTCCTGAGCCTGCCCTTGTTTGCGGTCAGCCGGCCGACTGCGAGACTGCCTGCCGCGCTCTATGCTCTGGATCCTTGTGGCCGCCTGCGCTCGACTATCTGCCGTGATGTCATCTTGGCTGGGAGCTGGTGCCTCTTCTTCTGACTCTGACTCCTGAGCCTGCCCTTGTTTGCGGGCAGCCGGCCGACTGCGAGACTGCCTTCCGCGCTCCATGCTCTGGATCCTTGTGGCCGCCTGTGCTCGCCTATCTGCCGTGATGTCATCTTGGCTGGGAGCTGGTGCCTCATCTTCTGACTCTGACTCCTGAGCCTGCCCTTGTTTGTGGTCAGCCGGCCGATTGCGAGACTGCCTGCCGCGCTCTATGCTCTGGATCCTTGTGGCCGCCTTCGCTCGCCTATCTGGTGTGATGTCATCTTGGCTGGGAGCTGGTGACTCATCTTCTGACTCTGACTCCTGAGCCTGCCCTTGTTTGTGGTCAGCCGGCCGACTGCGAGACTGACTGCCGCGCTCTATGCTCTGGATCCTTGTGGCCGCCTGCGCTCGCCTGTCTGCCGTGATGTCATCTTGGCTGGGAGCTGGTGCCTCTTCTTCTGACTCCGACTCCTGAGCCTGCCCTTGTTTGCGGTCAGCCGGCCGACTGCGAGACTGCCTTGCGCGCTCTATGCTCTGGATCCTTGTGGCTGCCTTCGCTCGCCTATCTGCCGTGATGTCATCTTGGCTGGGAGCTGGTGACTCATCTTCTGACTCTGACTCCTGAGCCTGGCCTTGTTTGTCGTCAGCCAGCCGGCTATGAGACTGCCTGCCGGGCTCTATGCTTTGAATACTGCTGCCATCGTAACCAACAACTGATGTCGGGCTTTCGGACGCTGCTTTCAGATCTAATGCTTTGCCTCGCGGCAGATTGTTGCCAGCTTGTGTGATCTGTTCTTCCTCTGCAGAGCTTGCAGGACTTACCTGACTCGCTTCTGGAGAGCTTCTGAGATTTTGGGCCTTCAGGCAAACAGATTCTGAGTCTGAACTCTGCGGCATCGGCGCCGGTCGAATCTGGTCGCGGCTGGATTGCCCACTTGGTGAATGCCAAATAGTTAAATCCTTTGCATTGTGAAGCTTGTTGTTGTCTCTCTGCTGCATGCTTCTCTTCCATTCCAGCCAGCCCAGTCGCATAGGAGAAGGAGGAGAAAAATTGGCCCTGCGCGTCTTGGGCACTGGGCTAGCGTGTGCTCCCTGAGGGCCCTTCTGTCCTCGCCCTTCGGACCCTGTGGCAGGCTGCTCACGGCCGTCCTGGGCAAAACGCCGCATTTCGGCATAGTTTTGCATAACTTCGGCGCCTTCTTGCGATGCTTTGAGTGCACTGAATTCCTCCAACTTTCGCGCTGCATGTGACAAACTCAAGTTGACAGCTTGACAAATTGACGCGCCCGTGCGCCTCAGAAGCTTCTCTTCAGCTTCTTTTTCCTCGCTGCGCGCGGCACAGGATGCCGGGAAATGCCAAATCCACTGAAACCACTCTGCAACGCGCAAAGCCCACGGCAGCTTTCAACTTCTCGTCAAACTGCCTGGACAACTCGGGGCATTTGCAAACCTGGACCGGGCTGGTAGGACTTAGTCACCTGGCCAAAGAGTCCTAGGAAAGCTCAGGCCTCGCCTCAATAGCCACTCTTCTCGTTTTCGCAGGTCCTGCACTCTAAAACTAAAACAAATCTGTTAACATGCTGTGCAGGTGCAGTCCTGGTGGTATAAACGCTCGATGGAGGTTTGAACCTCTGCTATGCGAGTTCGTCGCGCCAATTAGACCTGTCCCAAATCACGCAGGCCTTGTAGCTCCTGTCTGGTGAATTGACCAGATGTCGATGGACTGAACTTTGTTGGATGTGCTCCCTTGGAGCGCCCATGCGCATGCGCAGCCCAGTCAGTCAATCCAGGCCGCGACATCTCATCCTGAAGCTGCTCAGCGCGCATTTTGCGAAGCTTCTCCTTCGAGATCGACCGAGTGGAAATGACATGAAAGCGACTGGAGGCCTAAGCTATGAGGATTATCAGGCCTTGGATCGCGTCCATGAGGAGTACAATCTGGAAGTAGCTTTGTCGACATCTTGAGAGGCGCTGCCTTAGCAGCCGAGCCACAGGTCCCGCATGTCCCGACGTCTCGCTAAGGTACGGTGGACGCTATGCAGCTTGGCGTACTTCTCTACCTCCTCCTCCTGGCCTTTCACCATTTCGGCCCTCCTCTCCTGAGGCAGCAGTGTAAGTTTTGCGCATAAGTACGCATAAGTACGCATAAGTACGCATAAGTATGATAAGTATGCATATAAGTGGTATACTTACGCGGGCGTCAAAACCAGGCGATCGGGCGATCAGCTCAGGCTTGAGCATTGCGCTTCTTCCCCCACATCTCCTGCTCCGAGATCCACGCCTCACGGCGGAATGCGGAATGCATTCCGAGGCCCAGACCTGCATGCCTGAAACTGCGCTTTGCTGCGAGGCGTCAGTGGGGTTCCTGTCGCATATGAAGAGAAACGTCCCGCTGCAAATTAAGAACTGCCTGCATCAGATCGTGAGCTCGGGGAGAATGTGGCCACCGCAGCCTCGGAGACTGTGGGCACCTCTGCTATGCCCAGTCCAAAGGACGGCTAGGAAACAGGCAAACTCTCTGTCATATTTGTCCCGGATCCTTGAAAAGGCCCAACATGGCCCAGCTGCATGAAACAAGCTGGCATGCAGGCAGGCAGGTCCTTGCCATTTCTGCTTGCTTGTGTTTGCTCTCTTCATGCAGTCGCTTGCATGCAGTGGCCTCAGACGGATTGGACAGCTCCAAGTTCGAACAAGCTGTCTCAAATAAGCCGGTTGCTGCAGGCCCTGTATCTGGGACTGGCTTTGGACGCCTCACCTGCAAGCTGGCTTGCCCGTGCGCTCAGGATCTGCCTGCATTGCCTTCTCCTCCCGGCTTTCAGCCTAGTGGATGGTTGAGCCCATCAGTCTGTCGACTCGACGACCGGCCGACATGGCCTGCCGTCGGGCGCTCGTGCTCCTGAAAAAGGTTCAAGATGGCTCAAGATTTCAATATCCAATGCTTGTGCCCTGCTTGTGCCCGTGCTGGCCGTGCTGCCCGTGCTGGCCTGGCATATAGTCGCTCATGCACTGGCACCTGGCGAGCGCCAGGTGGCTCGCCCGGAATCTCAGGCATCTGAGGGCCAAGCACGTCCCGACAGCCCGGGACTGCGCGTGGGAAGCCAGGCGCACGACACACGACATCACGTGACTCATCGCATGACATCCATGCGCTTTTGATCTGAAGCCTCTGGATGGGAGTCCGGAGCAACCTAACACGTATGCGTGAATGTGGGACGCATTGACAGGGAAACTCATGGCCACAAGACATGCAGAGTCCCCACCGCAAGCTTGTGGGTGACCTGGACCTGGCCATTTCGGGGAAGGCGCAGGCTTGCAGCTGTGGCCATTGCCTTTCGCGGCGTGCGACGCCTGCAAACATATGACCCAAAGCCTGGCTTCCGGTTTGCAACAAATCCCAGCTCCCTGCCTTTGAGCTTTGGTTTGGGCGGTTGCTCACACCCGTTGAAGCCGGCAATGATTTGGCAGCGAATGCCCTCTGCGTCAACGAGCGTGTCGTCTTCAGCTTGCACAGCCTTGTCGACCTCAAACACATGCTCAACCTCAAGCATCAGGAAAGGCTTTACCTGCCTTCGTCAAGCTGTCCCTGAGCCTGAATGCAAACTTCGCCGAAAGGCACTGACCCATGTTGTCACCCATGTCACCCTGCCTCTCTGCCTCTTTCCTAGATTCAGCTTCGTCTGACTGCCTGCTAGCAAGGCCATGTAATCTCTAAGGCAGGGACTGTGCAGGACTTTTGGCCAAAGCAATGGAGCCCTGCCTTTTTGGCGAAAAGCTGATCCCGGAGTCCGTGACTGACCTTAGATTCTTAGCATAGCACATGCGCCGTCAGAAACACAACACAAGGCCATGGCCGCTCACGCAACGGCCCATTCCACGGCGCAGGCCCAACTTCTGGACTCATGAGCCTCAGCTCAAGCGGAAGCGGTTAACAAGTTAACATGTCGAGTCGGAGTCTCCGGGGCTCCGGGCTCATCATCTGACCTGACACAAGTCACAAAGGGTCACGCGCGAAAGGGAAAGCTAGTCACTGATTAATAAGAAGCATCTTGCCACTCGGAAATGCAGTCCAGGTCTACATCAATCTATGCAGCTGACTGGAGATGAGGAGGGTCAGCATGAACCACAGACATCAACCTGCCCAGCCAATCACTCAATCGTCAAGGGTCAGCAAGTTGAGAGGCGGGCTCGTCGTCATCCGCCCAGCTAAGTCTGTGACAGAATGGCGGCAAGCAGCTCCAGTGAGGCGTGATTATTGGCTCGGGCTTGGACGGTTGGTGCCTCCCAACATCTTGGCTGATGGTCTCAGGGCACATGAGCCTGACAGGCAAAATGTGCGCGAAAGAACGCATCCCTAGTCTGCTCCCTGGGCTGCAGACTCATCGATGTCGGGCCTGAGCCAATGGCACAAACTCCTTGAGCCCCGGAGAAGAATTGCGAAGGCCCCAAGGCTGTGGCCCAGGGCCCGTCATCCTGACTCGACTACTTGCAACCGGCCGGCGTGCCTTCACCCAGTCACAGAGTCTGAGAGCTCTGCGCGAGCTCATCGTCGTCCATACCCGTCAGCAACAAACATCTAGCATCACGAGCGTCTAGCAGTTCAGGTGTCTTGAGGCCCGATGCGACTCAGCTGCGAGATACCCGGCGGCACGCTTCACCAGCCAGTCAGAAAACAAAGGTGCAAACTCTGTAGAAGAACCTTATGCGGGGGCCGCCAGGCCGGTCAGGAGAAGTCAAGAGAAGTCAGGAGGTCTCGAACTGGAGCAAATGGGTTTGCCCATGTTTGCCCTCAACATGCGGACCTCTCATAATTACGCCAAGCTTGCTCTGCATCTGGTGAGCACTTTTTGGCGTCAGCTGAATGCATTGCGTCTGCGACATGCAACTACTGCGGCGTTCTTTGGCCGCAGGCATTGCACGCCCCAGGTCATGCAAACGAGCTGAGCTGACGTGCAGGCAAAGTGCAGCTGAACCTGATGTCTTCAGTGCTCCTTATGAAAAGTGGCAGTGGCTTTTCAGCCGTTTGACTCAAGCCCGCGGGAGCTGATGAGTTCCTAGCCCGTTTGACGCTGTCGAACAAAGGGGAGCCTTCTGTGTCTTTGATTGGTTGGTAGCTTGCTGCCCAAATGGCGAAGCCAGGTTAAGCGCCTAGCCAGTTCCAAGAGGCCATCAGGCGTAGGACGTTGCAATTCCTGAGCTGCAACCACGTGCCATTTGCACACGGGACAATTTGGCCAAGCCACCTGGGCTGACACCTGGAGGCCTCGGCGCAAGCTCCGCAAGTTCCCATATGCATTGCCCTTGCCACTTCCCGGACACAAACGCAAAGATACGCAAAGGGTGCTTGCGCTGTTCAGCAAAGCTGCTCGGACGGGCCCCGCTTTCCCGGTGACTTGAGATGTCCTGGCAGCAGTCGCTCGGCAATGGTGATGGGCACTGGCGCAGAGATGGACAGCTCAACGTCAACGGGCGAATGTCCCCGCGATCGTCCAAATCTGGGCAGCTGCCCCACATTCACCATCAACGAGCTGCATGGTAGCGGGGCTGTCCAATCCAGACCTTGGGAAGCCACGCCGTCTGCGGAGCGTGACGGGCGTGACGGCACTGGTATTTCAAGTGTGAAAGTCTCTTGTGAGCTCTCCATCACGCTAACATGTGACGTCTCCTTGCTAGCTTTGCTTGTCTTAGCGCCTTGAAACTGCCTCGCACGGGGTGTCAAAGCTCGCTTCTCTGCTCGGCTTCGTGCCGATCGAACCCCAAGCTTTGGAGTCTCTGAGGCAGCTCTGTATGGCTTGGATGGGTACGAAGTCTCACCAAGTTGGCGTTGCGCCTTGGGAGTCTCGCCCACCAGTTGCTCTGACGCAGTTCTGCATGGCCTAGGTGAGCGCGGTGTCAACGTTCTCCCTCCCTGTTGGCATTGTGCCCTGGATGTCTGGACACCTGGTAGTGCATGTTCGGAAGTGCATGGCCTGGCTGCACGTGGTGTGGAGACTCTCTTTTCCTGTCGGAATGGTTGAGGTAATGCTCTTTCTGAGACTGTTCCGTAAGGCTTTGATGGATACACTGTTGACCTCCGTTCTCCCTCTTGGCTTTGCACCTGTGTTTGACCACCCGGCACTAGTGTCCGTTCTGAGACACTGTGTGGCCTAGGTGAACGTGGCGTCAAAGTTCCTGTTCCCTGGCTTTGTGTCTCAGCGTGCTTCACTGCAAAGCCTTTGTCATTGACTTGCTGCTGGAGAACTGTCCGGTAGGGCCTCGCCGGGTATTCGAAGTCTTCGGGCTGCCTTGGCACGTCCTCCTGTACTGAGCTAGCCTTTGGCTGATGTGCCTGCTGCGCCTGCTGCGCCTGCTGCGCCTGCTGCACGTGCTGCGCCTGCTCCGCGTGCTGCGCCTGCTGGCGCTGCTCCTGCTCATGCTCCGGCGTTGCCCCGGGGAGCCGCTCTGTGGCTGACTCGCACACGGCCGGAAGCTGAGACCATGCCTCAGCGAGCTCGGGACAAATGGCAGACACGGTGTGGCTATGCACTCAGATGCGCAGAGGTGGCGACCCCGAGGAGCGTTGCCTTCATGGTCACCTGGATCTCCCGACATCTCGCGACATCTCCCGACACCTTGAGCCCTCCGAGAGCCCTCCGAGAGCCCTCCGAGAGCCCTCCCAAAGTCCCGAGGCTTCAGCGTGCAAGTGGCCGTCGCCTAGCCGCAGCTCACCATCGAAGCCTCGCTGGCATCTCGGGCTCCAAATGCTCGTTGGCAGCTATCTGAACAAAAAAATCTGACATCTGAGATCTTCTGAGCCTGCTGCCGGAAGCACAGGTCCTACGCCAACTTTGCTCACAGCATGTGCATCTTTCAGTCGTTATATGCAAGGAAGTCACATCAGCATGGATGCCAGTTTCATAGTGGCATGCGCAAGATGGGTCTGCTCGGTAAATATTGTGAACCTGGCGAAAATGGAATGCGGAATGCAGTGGAGTCGAGCAACTTTACTCGGGATAGGGTCGGCCTAGCACGACTGACTTCGATGCAAACCGGTGACAGCAGCGTGTCGCTCGGCCGCAGCTTCGCTGTTGATGATGCGTCCCAGGCAGGACAAGGTCCCGCAGCTGCATCTGTGCAAAGAATTGGCTCTTGCTTGCCCACAGCCTCGACCAGGCAGTACCTCAGGTGCCCATGCGCACTGAGGTAAACTGCGCTGGAACATCAACATAACACAAATGTCCGTCACACTCAATCAGCCCTGCGTCAGGCTTAGCCATGCTCAGCTGGCTCTGCGTTTGAGGCTGTGGTCTCAGATTAGGACCTTTATGCATCTGGAGCTCTTCGACGGACTTATTCTTCTGTGAACTTAAGCACTTCCGTCACTTTAATCTTGCTACGCGCAAGCTGCGCAAGCTCGAAGATCAACATGAATGCAGGGCCAAAGAATCAATAGGAACAAACAAGCACATTGGGGACTTGCATCTAGTCCGAGCTTCACTGCACCGTTGAAGTGCAAACCTCGCGCAGAGACAACGCCCACCTCCACAAGAATGGTCTCCTCCCTGGGGCACTCTGTCGGACCAATCGGACACGGAGCTATCCTACGCGCCCTTGCAGTCGGAGAGTGAGGGCGCGAGAGCTCAGCCTCTGAAAGCTCGGGAGCAGCGGCTTCCGGCTCCGCAGCGGCTTGAGCAAGAGACTCGGGCTTGGCCACTCGCGAGTTTGCCCGGGAAGCACCTGGGGTCCGCGACCTCGCGCGTCTGGAGTCTGGAGTCGACTCCAAAGTCTGGAGTGCATCTGAGAAGGGCACGGGGCTGAAGCGGACGGACTTCGAGGGCTTCGAGGGCTTGGTTTGCCTCACGTGCCAATGACTCTCCGTACCTTGCACTCAACCTGAAGCTGGCCTGCTCGCCCAGACCGGCCAAGGTCTTGCGCATCTCGCGCACCCTAGTGCCGCTATCCCAGCCACATGCAGCTATGCAAGGTCATCTGCAAGTCACGTGGGCAAACAAGATGTTGGCACATCCATGGGGATTTATGGCTCGCCGCATAAGAGAGCGGCAGGGCTGGAACGGAGGCGGATAATGTCTTCCTGGCAGTCCGACCGAAAAGTGGCCCCTGAATCTGTAACTCCTGTTGCTTGGTGCATTCCAGCTCCTGCTCTTTCCTCTTCTGCTCGAGGATTCGGGCTCTTTCCTCAGGGGAGCAAAGCTGTGTGAAGGAAAAACCCGCAGGCCACAGTCCTGAAAGTCATTGTAGAGCCGTGCGCACACCTGAATCCAGCTCATGCCTTGAATGCCTGTCATCCTGAGGTGCCCTTGAAACTGGGCAGGCGGGCATTGGTGTTTGTCCCAGGCCTGCAAGCTGGGCAGTGAGAAAGGACGAATTCGGGCCATTCGGGGAAATTTGGGCACCTGTGCAGTTTGAGAGGCTGTGCGACAATGATGTCCTGGCCGACGGGCGGCCCGCCAACATCCCGCTTGAATCAAGTGCTCGCAACTTGCTGACAGCGTCCTCTTCAATCTTTGCCTCGTGTTGCAACTTCTTCAAGCGCAAAGAGCGCTGGCTGCTGTCCTTTCAACTTGGCTACGCCAGATCTCTGGCAAGGCATCACAAGTCACCAGACCTTGTACAGGCGCGAGCATACATCGCCTTGGCATGCAGCGATTCGAGTCCGTGCCTGGGCCCGCCTCTAAGCCGTCGCACCGTGCGAAGAGCCCTCCCGATGGACGCTGTTCTCCCTCAAATACTTGCCTGCAAAGAGCAAGGGAGACGATGAACAACACACAACACCCACTGGTAGAAGTGAGCTGAACCGTTGAGGTCGCTGCTCTCGGACTCTTCCTGCTGCAAGCGTTCAGCCTGCATGGCTGTGCAGGACGCCGAGACGCTTTCGAACTTGAACACGTTAAGGCCTTGAGTCTGGCAGCCCTCCTTGCGTTCCTGAGGCTATCCATGCAAACGCGCTGGCAACCGTGAAGAAAAATCAGCTGAACATCTCCTTTCTGCTAATCCTAAGCTTAAGCGGGTTTAAGCCGAAAGCCAATCAGCTTGGTGCTGGATGAAGGTGTCCCGCTGTTTCTTACTCATTTCGCCGCCCTTCGTGATTGCCTTGAATGGTGTCATAGGCTTTCGCCCTGCGATGGCAACATGGCAAACTGCCACCGATGCCAAGCTCAGCACGCGCTGCGACCTTATGACGGAACACACGTGCAACTGAGTAAATGAATGTAAATGGAGCAGAGCGAATGAGCTTCTGGCTCTGGGGGGGCCTCACGCTTTTGCTTCCTGAGTCATAGGGCCTTCTTACCCCCACCCCCACCAGCCCCACGTCGTGAACCTTCAGGTCTGTGGCCACGGCAGCTTGTACACGTCATGCATTCGCCTGCAGCGTATCTAACCCTTTAATACTTCATCGACTTCACAGTGCTTCAGAACTCATGGGGCTCCGACTGACTGACGGCTTGAACGTGTTCCACCGGCGCCTGTCCCGCTATTGCATGGCTTCGAGGGGCAAGCGCGCAGAAGCGCCTGCCCCGATCTCACTAGCTGCTGCTCCAGCTCCCTCTCTTTTTTCTCCCGCTTCTGAGCTTTCGCCTGCCATCCATCCGACATCATGCTACTGTCCGAGCCCAATGACAAAGGCTGCAACAAAGCTGCGAGATCGAAATTTGGGACAAGCTGGACAGTCTGCCTACTCCAAAGCCTTTGCAGCCACAGTTTGGGGCTCCCGAGCGACTGGGGCCAGGACAAGCACGCATTGATTTTTTAGATACGACCACTTCTTTGACGATTGCGGAGTTGCGCTTAGAGACCGTCTGCACAAAAAGAACACAAGCGCAAGATTCAGCACAATGACTAAAGAACAACTTGACAAAGAAGGGGGTCGCAAACAACGACTTGACAAAGAAGGGGTCCCAAACAACGGCTTGACAAAGGAGGGGGTCGCAAAGAACGACTTGACAAACAAGGGGGTCCCAAAGAACAACTTGACAAGAAGGGGGTCCCAAAGAACGACCTGACAAAGACGGGGGTCCCAAAGAACGACTTGACAAAGAAGGGGGTTCCAAAGAACGACTTGACAAAGAAGGGGGTCGCAAAAAAACGACTCGACAAAGAAGGGGGTTCCAAAGAACGACTTGACAAAGAAGGGGGTCCCAAAGAACAACTTGACAAACAAGGGGGTCGCAAAGAACGACTTGACAAAGAAGGGGGTCCCAAAGAACGACCTGACAAACAAGGGGGTCGCAAAGAACGACTTGACAAAGAAGGGGTCCCAAACAACGGCTTGACAAAGGAGGGGGTCGCAAAGAACGACTTGACAAACAAGGGGGTCCCAAAGAACAACTTGACAAGAAGGGGGTCCCAAAGAACGACCTGACAAAGACGGGGGTCCCAAAGAACGACTTGACAAAGAAGGGGGTTCCAAAGAACGACTTGACAAAGAAGGGGGTCGCAAAAAAACGACTCGACAAAGAAGGGGGTTCCAAAGAACGACTTGACAAAGAAGGGGGTCCCAAAGAACAACTTGACAAACAAGGGGGTCGCAAAGAACGACTTGACAAAGAAGGGGGTCCCAAAGAACGACCTGACAAACAACTGGGTCGCAAAGAACGACTTGACAAAGAAGGGGGTCCCAAAGAACGACTTGACAAAGAAGGGGGGGTCGCAAAGAACGACCTGACAAAGGAGGGGGTCCCAAAGAACAACTTGACAAACAAAAGGGTCGCAAAAAACGACCTGACAAAGAAGGGGGTCACAAAGAAGGGGGTCGCAAAGAACGACTTGACAAAGAAGGGGGTCCCAAAGAACGACTTGACAAAGAAGGGGGTCCCAAAAAACGACCTGACAAAAAAAGGGGGCTCGCAAAGAACGACTTGACAACGAAGGGGTCGCAAAGAACGACTTGACCAAGAAGGGGGTGCAAAGAACAACTTAACAAAGAGGTCCCAAAGAACGACTTGAGAAAGAAGGGGGTCGCAAAGAACGACTTGACAAAGAAGGGGGTCCCAAAAAACGACCTGACAAAGAAGGGGGTCCCAAAAAACGACCTGACAAAGACGGGGGTGACAAAGGAGGGGGTCGCAAGACACCACTTGACAAAGAAGGGGGTCCCCAAAGAACGGCTTGACCAGACGTGACAAAGAAGGGGGTCCCAAAGAACGACTTGACAAAGAAGCGGGTCGCAAAGAACGACTTGACAAAGAAGGGGGTCTCAAAAAACGACCTGACAAAGAAGGGGGCTCGCAAAGAACGACTTGACAAAGAAGGCGGTCGCAAAGAACGACTTGACAGAGGGAGGTCCCAAAGAACGACTTGACAAAGAAGGGGCTCCACAGAACGACTTGACAAAGAAGGGGCTCTCAAGAACGACTTGACAAAGAAGGGGGTCCCAAAGAACAACTTGACAAAAAAGGGGGTCCCGAAGAACGACTTGACCAGACGTGACAGAGAAGGGGGTCCCAAAGAATAACTTGACAAAGAAGGGGGTCCCAAAGAAAGACTTGACAAAGAAGGGGGTCGCAACTTGAATAAGAAGGGGGTCCCAAAGAACGACTTGACAAACAAGGCAGTCGCAAAAAACTACTTGACAAAGAAGGGGGTCGCAAAGAACTACTTGACAAAGAAGGGGGTTGCAAAGAGGTTGAGGTGTCTTTTTTTACTAGCCCCGGCTTTTTACTAGCCCCGGCTCGGCACAAGGCCTCCCTCCAAAGAGGTTGGGCTGGGGGTTGGTGGCCGCATCGCCAGCAATACCAGCTTCTTGTCACGGCTGCATATGGGGCATGACTTGATGCTCGGGATAGCCAGCCGCATCGCCAGCATTACTGGCCACACTCGGACGAGAGCTGCCTATTGGCTTTGATTTGGTGGCAGTTCAGGGTTGATCGGGGCTGGTTTGGGGTGAGTGTTGGGCTTGCTGAGATATTAATGCGGGTGGGTCTTGGGTTTGTTTGGGGATCATTTAGCCTCGGCAACTGGCCGATATGCAGGATGCGGTTGGGAGGGTTTCAGGTTGACTTTGGGTCGGTTTTGGCTTGGTTGGGGCTGATTCGTGCTAGATGCGCGGCTGGTTTAGCCGTGGCTTTCGGGTTGCTTCAGGGATGTGGTTCTGCAAGTTTTGGGCTAGGATTGGTGGTTTGGGGCAACGCCCCACAGCCAATCCTGGCCCAAAACTTGCAGAACCACATCCCTGAAGCAACCCGAAAGCCACGGCTAAACCAGCCGCGCATCTAGCACGAATCAGCCCCAACCAAGCCAAAACCGACCCAAAGTCAACCTGAAACCCTCCCAACCGCATCCTGCATATCGGCCCTTTGCCGAGGCTAAATGAACCCCAAACAAACCCAAGACCCACCCGCATTAATATCTCAGCAAGCCCAACACTCACCCCAAACCAGCCCCGATCAACCCTGAACTGCCACCAAATCAAAGCCAATAGGCAGCTCTCATCCGAGTGAGGCCAGTAATCCTGGCGATGCGGCTGGCTATCCCAAGCATCAAGTCATGCCCCATACGCAGCCGGGACAAGAAACCGGAAATGCTTGGGATGCTGGGGATGCGGCCGCCCAGCTGACCAACCAACCAACCAACCAGCCAACCAACCAACCAACCAACTAACCAACCAGTCTCCGAGCCGGGGTTAAGCCCCGAGCCGGGGCTAGCAAAAAAAAACACCGGCTCCGTTGCAAAGAGCGTCGTCACAAGAAGGGGGTCCCAGAGAACGGCTTGACAAAGGAGGGGGTCGCAAAACACGACTTGACAAAGAAGGGGGTCGCAAGACACGACTTGACAAAGAAGGGGGTCCCAAAGCACGACCTGACAAAGAAGGTGGTCCCAAAGAACGACTTGACAAACAAGGGGGCTCCCAAAGAACAACGTGACAAACAAGATGGTCCCACAGAACGACCTGACAAAGAAGGGGTCCCAAAGAACGACTTGAGAAAGAAGGGGGTCCCACAGAACGACTTGACAAAGAAGGGGATCCCCAAAGAACGACTCGACAAAGAAGGGGGTTCCAAAGAACGACTTGACAAAGAAGGGGGTCCCAAAGAAAGACTTGACAAACAAGGGGGTCCCAAAAAACGACCTGACAAAGAAGGGGTCCCAAAGAACGACTTGACAAAGAAGGGGGTCCCAAAGAACGACTTGACAAAGGAGGGGGTCGCAAAACACGACTTGAGAAAGAAGGGGGTCGCAAAGAACAACTTGACAAAGAAGGGTATACCCCAAGAACGACCTGACAAAGAAGGGGCCCCAAAGAAGACTTGACAAGAAAGGGGGTCCCAAAGAACGACTTGACAAAAAAGGGGGTCCCAAAACACGACTTGAGAAAGAAGGGGGTCGCAAAGAACGACTTGACAAAGAAGGGACAAAGAAGGGGGTCCAAAAAGCACGACTTGACAAAGAAGGCAGTCCAAAAAAACGACTTGACAAAGGAGGGGGTCGCAAAACACGACCTGACAAAGAAGGGGATCCCCAAAGAACGACTTGAGCAGACGTGACAAAGAAGGGGGTCCCAAAGAACGGCTTGACAAAGGAGGGGGTCGCAAGACACGACTTGACAAAGAAGGGGGTCCCCAAAGAACGACTTGACCAGACGTGACAAAGAAGGGGGTCTTGACAAAGAAGGGGGTCCCAAACAACGACTTGACAAAGAAGGGGGTCCCAAAAAATGACCTGACAAAGAAGGGGTCCCAAAGAACGACTTGACAAAGAAGGGGGTCCCAAAGAACGACTTGACAAAGGAGGGGGTCGCAAAACACGACTTGAGAAAGAAGGGGGTCGCAAAGAACGACTTGACAAAGGAGGGTATACCCAAGAACGACCTGACAAAGAAGTTGCCCCAAAAAAGACTTGACAAGGAAGGGGGTCCCAAAGAACGACTTGACAAAAAAGGGGGTCCCAAAACACGACTTGAGAAAGAAGGGGGTCGCAAAGAACGACTTGACAAACAAGGTGGTCCCAAAGAACGACTTGACAAAGAAGGGGGCTCGCAAAGAATGACTTGACAAAGAAGGGGGTCGCAAAGAACGACTTGACAAAGAAGGAGGTCCCAAAGAAAAAATTGACAAAGAAGGGGGTCCCAAAGAACGACTTGACAAAGAAGGGGGTCCCAAAGAACGACTTGACCAAGAAGGGGGTCCCAAAGAGCGACTTGACAAGAAGGGGGTCCCAAAGAATGACTTGACAAACAAGGGGGGGGGGTCCCAAAAGCACGACTTGACAAAGAAGGCCGTCCCAAAAAACGACTTGACAAAGGAGGGGGTCGCAAAAAACGACTTGACAAAGAAGGGGGTCCCCAAAGAACGACTTGAACAGACGTGACAAAGAAGGGTCCCAAAGAACGACTTGACAAAGAAGCGGGTCGCAAAAAACAACCTGACAAAGAAGGGGGTCCCAAAGAACGGCTTGACAAAGGAGCGGGTCGCAAGACACGACCTGACAAAGAAGGGGGTCCCCAAAGACCGACTTGACCAGACGCGACAAAGAAGGGGGTCCCAAAGAACGACTTGACAAAGAAGCGGGTCGCAAAGAACGACTTGACAAAGGAGGGGGTCCCAAAAAAACGACCTGACAAAGAAGGGGGCTCGCAAAGA